TCCATATAGACGCTGGTAGGGTATACTATGAGTAAGTCTCTATTTCGGCCCTATCGTGCTCATATTTCTCATATAACCGAACAGATTCTTACCCCTCGGAGCAGGCGCGGTCGTCGAGGTTTCAATGAACTCGAAGGAGACGGAGCTGCTCCTATTGCCCGAATGCGCCTCACGGTGCACCCTCTCTGATATCGACGAGTCAATCGCGATGCTCAGGAAAGGTGTCACACTCCTTCCAGATGGCCATCGTGCGAAGGGTTTTCTGTTGAGCGCTCTAGGTGATTCCTTGCGGGGTCGCTTTGAGCGTCTTGGAGACCTTGGCGACCTAAACACGTCCATACTGTTGCTCTCAGAAGCCGTCACACCCTTACCTGACGGTCACCCCATGAAGGCTCTGTGGTTGAGCAAACTCGGATCTTCCCTATTCCTTCGCTTTCATCAACTTGGCACTCTCGGCGACCTCGACGAGTCAATCAAGTTGCTCAGGAAAGGTGTCACACTCCTTCCAGATGGCCATCATCAGAAGGGTTTTCTGTTGAGCGCTCTAGGTGATTCCTTGCGGGGTCGCTTTGAGCGTCTTGGAGACCTTGACGACCTAAACACCTCCATACTGTTGCTCTCAAAAGCCGTCACACCCTTATCTGACGGTCACCCCATGAAGGCTCTGTGGCTGCGCAAACTCGGATCGTCCCTATTATGTCGCTTTCACCAACTTAGCGACCTCGGCGACCTCAACGAGTCAGTCGAGTCGCTCGAGAAAGCTGTCAGACTCCTTCCAGAGGGCCATCGTGAGAAGCCTTCTCTGTTGAACGCACTAGGTGTTTCCTTGCTGGGTCTCTTTGAGCGTCTTGGAGACCTCGATGACCTAGCAACCTCCGTACTGTTGTTCGAGTCCTCAGTAGCCCTCGCACCCTTACCTGACGGTCACCCCAGCTCCCCCAGTGGCGAGGAAAATGCTTTCATCTCAGGAATGCTTGGCGATTACCCTCGAGCTCGGTTCCAGCGGGTCAACAGTGTCGATGATTTGAACGAGTCTGTTCAAATGCTGAAAGAGGCCACAGCACTTTGTCCCGACATGCATCCCGACAAATCTGGTTTCTTAATAAACATCATCGGGCGCGTGGTCAGGCATCCTGCTATGACTGCTTTAGCCGGTAGGGAGTACAAAAAGGCGATCGAGTGGCTTGAACAAGGCCGATCCATTATCTGGGGTCAGATACTCAGCCTTCGCTCACCGGTGGATTCTCTCAAACAAACTCATCCTGACCTGGCGGAGAAGCTCGAGTTCCTCACCAAGGAGTTGGAAAGGTCCGCGACTCGCGATAATTCTCCGCAGCGTTCTTCTGCGTCGCAATTTCTTCAGGAAACAGCACAGAAATATCACGAGCTTAATCATGAGTGGGCTATCCTCTTGAAGGAGATCCGAGAGATGGATAGATTCGACAGGTTTCTTTTGCCGAAAGGCATGTCCGAACTTTCACTTGCTGCGGTCCAAGGGCCCGTGGTGGTCCTCAACATCAGTGTACTCCGATGCGATGCGCTGATACTCAAGCCTGGCCTCGACGATGTCTTACATTTTCCGCTACAAAGACCCGCATTTGACCATGCGGAGTTGCGGAAAACACTGGGAACTCTCTTGCATTCTCATGGGCGCAGTGCTTGGTTAATGGGCCAGCAGGGAGCACAGATGCATCGCGAACAGGGGTCTGACCACATCCTCTCCGAATTATGGATGAAAATCGTCAAGCCGGTCTTGGAGGCACTTGACCACACCGTAAGTCGTCTCGTTTAAAATTGCTGTTTTCAACTAAGAATCTCAACAGAATCCCGATTTGCACCGTATCTGGTGGTGTCCAACCGGCCCTTCGGCGCTCCGTCCGATCCATGCTGCGAAGCTATCTGACTCTGTGATTTATTCGTACACACCGTCGTTGATCGCTTTGATCGAAGGGTTCAGAAGCAGATCTGACCCACAGGAAAGTCTACGACTTCTTGCTGTGGCTCAACCGTCTGCAGAGGACCTGGCCTACATTCTCGGTACTCAAACCGGAATGCATCATATTCAACGGCTCGCCAAGGGGACCCGCGTTTTGCGGCTGGAGGAAGATGCAGCGACGCTGGACAGCATTCAAAACGAAATGAGGAGTTGTCGCTGGGTTCACTTCGCCTGTCATGGTGTGCAAGACGTGTCTGCTCCAACCGAGAGTGCTCTCCTCGCTGGAGATCCATGGCTGACACTACCAAAAACTATCCAATCACATCCCAAAGCTGAGCTCGCTTTTCTTTCCGCATGCCAGGCGGCCACCGGTGCCGATGACCTTCAAGCGGTTCATCTTGCAGCTGGGCTGCTATCAGCAGGATACCGGGGGGTCGTGGCCACGATGTGGTCCATTATGGACCAGGACCCTCAAGTTGCCGCGGATGTTTATGGACACCTGTTCGATGCATCTCCGCTAGATTCAACACGGGCAGCCCAGGCGTTGCATCTTGCTGGTAGAAGGCTCATCTTGCTGTTAGAAGGCTCCGAGAGGAATTTTGCGGCAGGAAGTCATTTATCAACTGGGTGCCATTATTTATAAAATGCGATAGTATCGCATTTTATAAATAACTGTATCGAGGTTATAAATGGGACCACCGCGGGATCTCTCTTTAGCTTGTTACTCTTCGCTGAATTATACAATACCTACCGAGCAGGATAATATAGGCTCAATGACCTTTGATCATCCAGCTTCTATAGCTTTCACGGTATCTCTCTTGACGAGTTAGAACCCGGTTACACTTGAGCTACCTTGAGTTCGTTGGCTGCTCAAGCGCTGATCCACCAGACTGTGCAGACTTGGTGGTGGAACATCAATCACACCCGTATTTCGATCCTTGAATGAAAATGGAGTCGCCGGTTCGCCGGCCCAGGTCTTATTTCGTTTCTGAAGCTCTTTTTGACCACTCGCATCTTCTTCCGAACTCGCGACATGGAGGGCGATGACAGAATTAATTCGGGCCAAGGTACCTACACACACATGTTTGCGCGTGAACGGAGTAGATGCGCCATATCTGCCTAGGCACCTTCCGACGGCGCAAGAGTCAATAATAAAATCTGAGGAAGTAAGTAAGGGCAACGAGTGGCAGGGTGCGATGAACGGCTGGCCGTAAATTGCTCACCGGAGACATGTTGCAGAAATTGACATTACGGATCGTGCAGCAGGGATAGTTCCGATGAGGCTGAGGTTCGAAAAAGGGGAGGTGAACGACGCGGATGGTGCGGCGATGAAGGTTCATCGATGGAGGACTCTATTGAAACGACGGGAGTGATTCGAAGGACTATGATAGGCTCTCAGGGTATGTCGGATAGGCCACGACGTTTCGTAGGTTGGTGCTCCGCCTAAGCTTGAACATCAGCGGCCCAGATGAGGCGATTATGCGTCAGGGGAAACGGGCAGGAGCGGCGCCTGTGGATGGACGTAGTCAACTTGAATGCGGAGATTGCCCGTTAAACGCCGAGAGAGGAAGGACTGAGGAAGGCCGCTGTCAGCGGGAACTGTGGGACGGAAGAAGCCGAAAGAAAGTCATTACACTGGCATCACAGTGATGCCAACTTGAACACTCCGACTTTACTCTTCGATGAAGCGGACGTTCTCGCACGAAACACGGATGTTCGCGCCTGCGATCGGTCCCGGAGGACCACGCCTGTGAATCCGCGCACTGCTTGAGTGCGCCCTGCTGGGCCCCCAAGCACGGATATCCGAGCGGGGAGGAGCTGTACGCGAAAGCTGCGAGTAGACGCGGCGACATCTGCTCGATTCGAAGATGTTGGAGACGAACGGGGACGCATACGACTGTCCCTCAGAAAATCACGTCTCATCAAGTTCACAATTATGCAGTCTGGTTTATCACAGAACGGGTTCACCTGATAGCGACGGATCCCCGGATGCGAGGACGGAGATCCTGACGCGCAGTGAAGAGTCGTCAGGAGCGGGTATTTATTGCGTAATTTATTTGTGATACCGCTGTTATATGTTTGTCAATTCAAGCCTCTACTTAGAGTCACTATCTCACATGTCCTACTAAACGAGACACTTCCCTCGGAATGTATGTCTATGTACAGTACAGTAATCGAAACGGAACTTTTCGGTTATCCTTCCCAAATCCTTCCTTCCATTTTAGCTACAGAATAGGGTGTTTCATAATTAGATTTGGGAGCCTCAACTCGTGCCCCAACTTCGACCCCAACTTGCCATCAAGTTGAGGCATGAAAAAAGAGTTGGGGCAGAGTTGGACGTCAAGTCGTGCATAGACCCACGACTCGACATCCAACTCTGCCCCAACTTGTGCCCCAACTTGATGCCCCAACTCCGGAGAACTCCGGGGCTTGCGCGTGGATGGCATCAGTATGATACGCGGCTGTCAACTCTGCCCCGATTTCAGAGTTGAGGCAGAATTTGTCGACTTGGGTGTTTCACAAACAAGGCCTCAACTCATGCCTCAACTTGCCCCAAGTTGGGGTCAAGTTGGGGTTGAAGTTGGGGTTGAAGTTGGACCCAAAAACCTAATTATGAAACACCCTAATGACTCGAGTCCGGTCAGTCGACATAGCTGGACGATATTTGTAACTGCGTGATTCTTTAGACATGGGAGGAGGTGGGTTATCATTTTACCGGAAATCCATCGGCGGCGCGTGTATGAGGATTTGGACCGAGATTTCAGAAATTGAACCAAGGTCACGTGTATGTGGTTCAAAATTATATTGCTTGGATTTGCCACTAGGCTCCCGATTTTTTTTTTACATAAAAAAAATACAGCAATTCATGGATGCAGTTTAGCTGCCAGTTCCGTAATGCGATAAAATAGCGAACCGAAGTTGTGTTCAGTTATTGAATGGAGTTACTTAGTCTTGGCACCTGGCGGGAGCCGTCACTGCAAGTGCAAATCAGGTTGTTCTGTTCGTGCGAGTCGATATAGCCAGTAGCTCTGTACAATACCAACTCAATTGTACTATCAATGCATACCTGGTGGTGGAAAGTATCACACCCGTATTTCATGGAATGTATTTTGACTGCTTCAATGGGAGTCGTCGGTTCGAGTCCGACCCAGGTCATGGTGCGGCGTTGAATTGTTTTTATTAGATCTTCACTCTCACTCAAACAAACGAGTTGGAATGCAGTTGTAGTTTAATTTCAAAAAGGTACGGTAACGTGTGGCTAATTATTCTCGTCTCAGACGTTCCGCGTGGGATAGTCGAGTGAGGATGTAGTACAACTCAGCTCAATTGCAAGTCTGAGCATGAGACCTGGTGGTGGAAAGCATCACACCCGTATTTCATCGAATGCCTCGGAAAGTTCAACGGGAGTGGTCGGTTCGAATCCGACCCAGGTCTTCGATCCATGATTGAAGAGTTTTTTTGTCGACATCTCTTCTGTCTTCTGATTATTAGGCTTCTGAACTCGCGACATGGATCAACAGCAGAAACAAAATCGTGGTAGAACGGATTGTTTTAATTGAATTGATCTCCCACTCACCCGAATGAGCGAGAGTGGGGATGGAGGATGGATCATAATGTGCCAGTGTGTGGTTCAAAAATGAACGCCTGAGGTATACTCGCGCGGGTTGTTCAAATCAAATCAAGATGAGTATTGAGCAGTACAACTCCAGCTCAGTCAAGGCTGAGCAGACCTGATGGTGAAAGGCATCATACCCGTGTCTTATTCTTGACCTTGGACGAGGTATCAGCGGGAGTTGTCGGTTCGAATCCGGCCCAGGTCGTGGTCGGTGAAATTAGTATTTTTTTGCCAACTAGAGTCCGGCTCAGGTTGTAGTCTTTGTGATGCTGTTTTTATTGAATTTTCACTCCCACTCTAACAAACGAGAGAGAGGGGATGGAGGATGGATTTTTATGTGTGTGGTCAAAAAAGGGTGAGAATTCAATTGTTCTGTAGGTACATACTTACGACTTTCTGCACGGCCCCCACGTAATGAAGAGTGTTGGCTGCTCAATCACAACTTGAGTGTGCAGACCTGGTGGTGAAAGGCATCATACCCGTGTCCCGTGTGTGCTAACGAAGAGCGTTCAAATGTATGGACGGGCGTTGTCGGTTCGAGTCCGGCCCAGGTTGTGCGCTTCATCGGGTATATAACTTTTTTTTCATGGAATCTGCTCTCTTGGTTGAAGGAGTTGACGGGATGGAGGTTAAATTATTATATGTGCGGTTCGAAAAGAATTGAAGCTTGAATTAATTACTCTCGTCTGGCGGAACATAGAGCTCGAACCCAGCACTGCAACCCGAGTTCGATTGCAAGGCTGAGCAGACCTGGTGGTGGAAGGCACCACATCTAATTCTTGGGAGCCGGAGAAGTCAGCGGGAGTCGTCGGTTCGAATCCGGCCCAGATCGTAGGTCCATAAGATCGCAGTCTTTTTGCCAACATCTCTTCTAAACTCGCGGCATGGAGGGGCGACGGCAGAATCAATTTGTACCTACACACTTGTTTGGCCGTGAACGGGTAGACGGACTACCTTAACTCGGCGTGGAATGGACCTGTACAACGAACGGCGGGGCAGATAGACGCAGAATGTTGTGGGGAGAGGCCGACTGGAAATCGGACCACGCCGGACTCGGAGACATGTCGCAGAAACCGTCATTCCGGATCGAGCGGAGAAGATAATTCTGATGAGGTTGAGGTTCAAAAACGGAGGTGAACGACGCGAATGGTTCGGAGATGAAGCTTCATCGATGACGGCGAAGGACTCCGATAGGTTCTCGGGCAAACTCGGGGCATGTTGGATAGGCAAAGACATTGCCTAAGCGCGGACGTGAGGAGGTGGTTATGGGTTGCGGGGAGCGGTCAGGAGCGGGGGCCGTGGATGGGCAGAGTAAACCTGAGAGCAGACATTGGCACATTGCCCGTTAAACAAGGCCGCCAGTGGGACGGAAGAACCCGGAAGAACGTTACATCACCGTGACGCGTGTGATTCCGACTTTCTCTGACTTTCTACAATGCGCTCCCTCGCGTCGCCGGCGGGCGGGTCCGCTTAAACTCGGCCTCCCGTGCACTCTATACACATCGGCAACACCAACATCCTTCTTCAACGCCCCGCCAACACCCGGAACGGCCCGATATTCACAACCAACCGGCTGCCCATCGAGGGCTTGTTAGCGTTCGCGTTCCTGTTGAAGTACGAGGTACGAGGGAGAGAAGGTTGAAAATTGAAAAACCCACGACATTCCTCCCCCACAAAATACACCCTCCTCGTCTCGCGCGCACGCCGCGCAAACCCGCGTCCGGGTGTGCGGTGTTTGGGATTGGTGGGCCGTCGGACGCCAAGGGTGGGGGGAAGGACAAGGAGGGCGTGGGGAAGGAGGTAGAAGAAGAAGGAGAGGTGTACGGAAAACTGCGTCGGCGGTGGACGGCGGGTGCCTGCGCCGGAGGACGCTCGCGGGATGCTGAGCGAGGCAATTCAACCAACACATCCTCATTCCACAGATTATCGCTCATCCCGTCGCTCGCAAGGATAAGCACTTCCCCCGCATGCACCGCAGCGTGAACAGCTGCGCGAGCGCCGCGCGCGTGCCGCCATCCTTGCCTTGCCATTGGCCTTCTCATTCGTTGCTCTGCCTGGTGTCGCTGTGGTGTTGGTGCCGAGGATCGAGGCATAGGTCGCAGCGCCCATCCCCCACCCTCACCGGTGCACTCGACGAATAAGATGCCGATGAAAAAGGGCGCGCCGCACTCATCTGCACCACCTTTCTCATTTTTTTTTTTCGGTGGTAACAGCGTTAGCGCAATCAATAACCCGCTGGGCCGCGTAAGCGCGGAGGGATCTCTCCAGAAAGAAGGGGAATAGTGCACCCCTTCAAGTTTACGCACAAGGCCGCCGCCGTAGTGTGGGACTCGTGGCCCGGGTGTGCAATGTCGCATCCACCGGAATCTGGAGACGACGAGGATCTTCGGCACGATGCCCACTGGCGTATTCCACCCCCACCACGTCTCCTCGCTCCGCCACGCGACCGTCCCCCACCCCCCACCCCGCGCACGAGCATCCCCATGCAGTCAGTCCCCCACATGCGCGATCTTGAGCACCGGCGTCCGCCCCTGTTCCCTTCGTCGTTTCTTTCCCTTCTGCGAGGGTGGGCGTGGGCTCTGCCTCCATCGTCCCCCCGCGCGTCTGCGTTTTCGATCCCCGCGAGCCGCGTTCTGCTGCAGACGCCGTCGCGAAGCTGGAAGCCCCACCCGCAAGCTCCAACGCGAGCGTCCCCTGCGGGACGTCCAGCTGCTGCTGCGACTCCAGCTGTCCAGCACGAGCGCGGTACTGCTCCCCGCGAGGTGGGCGATCGTCTTCGGGTGCGGGTGCTGTTCCGTTTCGTTCTGCTTCCCGTTGGGGGTCGTGTGCGTCTGCGTGCGTGCCTACGTCGACCCCGTTTGCGTTGCAGTCGATCCCGCTTGCGTCGCCGCCTCCCCCAGCCCCGGCCTCAGCTCCTCCACAAGATGCCCCCCAACGTCCGCTCATACACCCTCTCCGAAATACTCAACACGTCAATCCCATCCGACAGCGCGTCCAGGTGCGCCGCCAGCGCCGCCGCGGGGTCCCTACCACCACCGTCGTGCTGCTCCCCTCCTGCTCGTACACATCGTACTCGTTTTCGTTGTAGCCGAATAGGGGATAGTCAGGAGTGGTGTGGGTACAATTGCGGCGAGAAGTGGTGGGCGTAGGGAGAGGCGTAGGTGCGACGAGTACCCCGACATCGACGCAGACGCAGGTTCCTCGCGGACGAGGCCTTGGGTTTGCAGTGCGTCACCACTGCCCCGCCTCTCAATCTCATGCACCCACGACACGGCCAACGCATGATGGGCTGCGCGATCCACTTCGACCACGCAAAAGTGCATAAAGCGGCGCGCGAAGAGGGCCGAGGCGGAGGGGCTTGTAGGGTGGCTGTGGATGAATACACGGAATAGAATAGAACGAAGATGTATATGGAATCGGAAAATGTTGTCGCACGATTTCGTTGGCCAGGGCGAGGACGGGGTACTTATTGGCATCGAGACGAGTCTTCAAGCTTCACCCGTTTCTGCTGTTTGTGCGCCGTGCGAAGGAGGGGTCCTAACGCATCGATTTCAGCGTCTAGTTCAGCAAATTCGCCAGGCGAGCACTCGAGATTCTTGAACTTCTCTCAACGACTCGAGGGGGTGGATTGCAGGTGTGCCTCTCAACCTCCCACGTTAACGTCACAGATGTCCTTACACGTCCGAACCATTTCCGTGCACGTTCAACGGATTTGTACGTAGTGCCACTCCCGCGGCGTGAAAGCCTCTCCAACTTCCGCCGGCTTGAAGAATAGCAGTTGGGTGTTTTTTCTTTCTACGTCTGTAACGTGGACGTGGACGCAACGCCTGCGGCGGCATCCAATTGCTCAAACACTTGATTGGTTAGTTACGGATGCACGGTACGCAAGCTTACAACGGCTTGAGGTTGTCATTACAATTGGGGAATGCATTGGTAGAACGCGAGGAAAGCAGGAAACACACTTTTTTAAGTGGAATAAAGGATATATCGGGGCTAAGCGGTGGTGAGAAAATCTGGCCGAGAGTACGAGTCCGTGCACAAGGCCGGAACAACTGGACGAGCTTCAGCCCATCTGCTGCATCTTTCATCGACCCGAATCCGTTTCTCCTCCAATCGAATCTTCGGTGAGGTCGGCAGAACTGTCAGTTGTCGAAGTCTAGCTCTGGGTTGTCGTCGTCGTTGTCTTGGTCATAATACTCATTCACTTCGATCATTTCGAGGGTCGGAATGGAGGGAAATATTTCACGGTAATCTTCCGCCGACATATCATGGGGACCGATGATGTACAGTTCTTCCAGTTTGCACCCCGATCTCGCTATGAATGCCTCAAGAGCACCGGCAGAGTCCGGTAAGAGGAACTTTCTCGGGACGTGAAGTTTGCGTAGGGCAGGGAGGGTCAACGACTCGATGAGGCCGTTCAACTGGTGACCGGTGGACCCGACGTCCTCTAATATTAAAATTTCGAGGTATGCAAGATGTCGCTGCACCCATCCAATCTGCCAGTGGTAACCGCGCAACTGGACCTTGCAATAAATGAGGTTCGGCGCATGCTCCAAGACTCGGGAACACATATCCGGATCTGCAGTTTGTGCCACGAGCCGCGTAAGCTGAGCCCACGGCAAGGTGATTTCAGGAGGGAGGGAGGACAACAGAGTGACTGTCTGTAGCTGAGCCGCATCCTGGAAAAGGACAACCGGATCGACGTTCGTCACGGTATGGGTCATGAAAGGGGTCACCCCAATTTGCAGATGGCGAAGCAAAGGCATGTCGCCTTGAATCTGCGAAAAAGCATCCGGATCCGCAACAAGTAGGCTGAGATACTCCCAGCGATTGCAGTGAGGGAGGATCGCCTGAATGAAGGGTGCCATCTCCGAGTCGGATGCCTCAGCATACCGGTTATCCGCGAGACTGATGGAAAGTGGGCAAGATTGGGAGCGCGCAAGCCACGTTTCAAGCAGGGGCAATTTCGATATGTGGGGATGCACCGGTATTCGGATGGATATGGCCCTCCAAAGGGTAGGAGTAGACAGAGCTACGTCTCGCCACTTGCGACATACGCTGCTCAGTAAGGTCGGTGAAATTGCAGGAGGACAGAGGGGGTACACAGGGAGGACACGAGTGAAGATCTCGGACACAATTTCGTTGGGCAGGGTGAATACAGGGTACTTGTAGGAATCGAGACGAGCCTTCACCCGTTTCCGCTGTGTGTGCACCGTGCGAAGGAGGATTTCTAACGCATCGATTTCAGCGTCTAGTTTAGCAAGGCGAGCACGGTCTGCTGCTCGGGCGGATGAGGAAGTCTCGTGTGCAGCGCTCAGTGAAGGCTGTGAAGCCATTCTGAAGGGGATTTTGAACTCCGACGGTCCGCCATCAATTCTTGAACTCTATCATCGATTCTGTTTCACGAACGTTGATTCCTGTGCCACCCTCTGCTTCTGATTCAAAGTCTGAACTGAAATCCCGGCTGTCTTCAAGAGCTGCATGAGAAACTCCCCAACGGCCTGTGTTTCAGCGTCTAATCCTCGAACTCGTGCGTATGCAGCATCGGACAACACGCGCTGCGCGTTCAGTAAACCCATTCCTTTGCAGATGCTCGCTATCAAGACACTCCCGCCACTGCCGTAGCTGTCGATTGATGTCTCGTACGCATCAGTTGCACGATTCTTCGGGAATTATCGGACGCAGCGAATCACCCGTGTCCCGTGTTTGCTAACGAGTGTTGAAACGTATGGACGGGCGTTGTCGGTTCAAGTCCGGCCCAGGGGCTTCGCAACAAGACTTGAACTCTGTATATCGATTCTCCCATTCAGTTTGCGCTCAGTCCACTCTGAATCGAATGAAGCTGGATTTGATGCGGTTCAAACAGGTACGTGGGGCTTGGTTAAATTTTGAAGCTAATTATTTTCATCTCAGACGTTCCGCGTGGGATATTAGAGTGAGGACGTAGTACAGCTCAGCTCAGATGCAAGGACATGTGCAGACCTGGCGGTGGAAGGCATCACACTTGTATCTCATGAGTCGATTGTGGAAGGATTCAATAGGAGTCGTCGGTTCGAATCCGACCCAGGTCTTCAATGTCCATGGCGATGAGTTTTTCTGTCGACATCTCTGAACGCGTGACATGGAGGGGCGACGGCAGAATCAAAATCGTGGTAGAAGTGGTTCTGCAGGAGTTGTCGGTTCGGGGGCTTCACAACGAGTCTTGGACTGTTTTTATTGAATTTTCTCTCTCCCACTCAGTCCATTTTGAATCGAACGAACGAGTAGGGATGAATTTGATGGAGGTGGTTCAGAAAGGTACATGTGGTTTGGTTACATCAATTGTTGTCGTCTCAGACTTTCGCGCGGGATATTCGAGTGAAAATTCAGTACAACTCAGCTCAATTGCAGGTCTGAGACCTGGTGGTGGATGGCATCACACCCATATCTCATTCATCTAATGCAACTTGAGTGATTCAGCGGGAGTCGTCGGTTCGAATCTGGCCCAGGTCGTAGGTCCACAAGATCACAATGTTTTTGTCAACATCTCTTCTGAACTCGCGACATGGGCTCAGGACGACGGCAGAATCAAAATCATGGTAGAAGTGATTCAGCAGGAGTCGTCGGTTCGGGGGTTTCACAACGAGTCTTGGACTGATTTTACTGGATTTCCCTCCCACTCCTCACTCGAACGAAGGAGAGAGGGGATGGAGGTTGAATTTGATGTGGGTTGAAAAAAAGGTGAAGGTAAGGTGAAATTAGTTTAATCGCTCTTGTGTCGCTTTCGGCGTGGGTTGTTCAAATCAAGATGAGTATTGAGCAGTACAACTCCAGCTCAGTCAAGGCTGAGCAGACCTGGTGGGGGAAAGCATCATACCCGTGTCCAATTCTTGATATTGGATGAGGTATTATCAGTGGGAGTCGTCGGTTCGAATCCGGCCCAGGTCGTGGTCAATGAAATTTGGATCTTTTTTTCAACATCTCCGGTTCGAGTCCGGCCCAGGTCGTGGTTTTGGTAACCGCCCTGTCACTGGTTTTATTGTATTTTTGATCCATTCAGTCCACTCTGATCCGAACGAACGAGTGGGGATAAAGGTCAAATTTTTATACATATGTGCGGTTCAAAAAGGGTAGGAATTCAATCGTTCTGCGTTGAAGTACATATGGCTTTCTGCATGGCCCGTAATGAAGAGTTCGTTGGCTGCTGACTCACAACTTGAGCGTGCAGACCTGGTGGTGAAAGGCATCATACCCGTGTTTGCTAACGGAAGAGCATCGAAAATTTGGATGGGCGTTGTCGGTTCGAGTCCGGCCCAGGTTGTATATAACTTTTTTTCCATGGAATCTTCCCTCTCAGTTGAAGGAGTTGATGAGATGGAGATTGAATCATTACATGTGCGGTTCAAAAAGAATGGAAGGCAAGGTGAGCTTGAATTAATTACTCTCGTCTGGCGGAACGTGGAGCTCGAACGCAGCACTGCAACCCCAGTTTGATTGCAAGGCCAAGCAGATCTGGTGGTGGAACCCGTGTCTAATTCTTGGGAGCCGGAGAAGTCGCCGGGAGTCGTCGGTTCGAATCCGGCCCAGGTCGTACGTCGGTAAGAAGATAATATTTTTGCCAACATCTCTTCACATGGAAGCCTGAGGGCGACGGCAGAATCAAAATCGTGGTAGAAGTGGTTCAGCGGGAGTTGTCGGTTCGGGGGCTTCACAACGAGTCTTGGACTGTTTTTATTGAATTTTCTCTCTCCCACTCAGTCCATTTTGAATCGAACGAACGAGTAGGGATGAATTTGATGGATGGGGTTCAAAAAGGTACGTGTGGTTTGGTTACATCAATTGTTGTCGTCTCACGGTCTCAGACTTTCGCGCGGGATATTCGAGTGAAATTGTAGTACAACTCAGCTCAATTGCAAGACCTGGTGGTGGATGGCATCACACCCATATCTCATTCATCCAATGCAACTTGAGTGATTCAATGGGAGTCGTCGGTTCGAGTCCGGCTCAGGTTGTAATTCAGGTACTCATTCACTGTTTTGATTGTAACCTTGCACTGTTTTGAATTAATTCTTCTCCCACTCTTCATTCGAAGGAAAGAGTGGGACGGAGAGTGAATTGGAAAAGAAGTTGGCTTGAAATCAACTTCTCGTCTCACTTTCCAAGTGGGTTGTTCGAATTAAGATGAGCATTGAGTTGTACAACCCCAGCTTGATTCCAGATCTGGTGGTGGAAGGCATCACACCCGTGTCCAATTCTGATAGATTGTTGAACGCATCAGCGGGAGTCGTCGGTTCGAATCCGGCCCAGGTTGTGGTTGTGTGTCTGAGAAGTAGCTTTTTGCCAACATCTCTTGCTTATTCTTGTGAGCTCGCGACATGGAGGGGCGACGGCAGAATCAAAATCGGGGTAGGAGTGGTTCAGCGGGAGTCGTCAATTCGGGGGTTTCACAACGATTCTTGATTGATTTAATGGTAGGCAGGTAGGTATATTCCTACGCGGTCCCGTTAAGAAACATGGAAGTTGAATCTGATGTGTGGTTCAAAAATGACCTTCAACAACGCCTGAGGTATACTCGCGCGGGTTGTTCAAATCAAATCATGATGAGTATTGAAGAGTACATACAACTCCAGCTCAGTCAAGGCTGAGCAGACCTGGTGGTTGAAGGCATCATACCCATATCTAATTCTTGATGAAAGTGCATCAGCGGGAGTCGTCGGTTCGAATCCGACCCAGGTCGTTATTCCGTGCGAATGAAATCTTTTGCCAACATCTCTTGGTTAGTCTTCTGAACTCGCGACATGGATGGGTGACGGCAGAATCAAAACCGTGGTAGGAGTGGTTCAGCGGGAGTCGTGGGTTCGAGTTCGGTGGCGTTGGTAAGAGTATCGAACCGTTTTTACTCCCGCTCTTCACTCGAACGAACGAGAGTGGGGATGGAGGATGTATGTCTATGTGTGGTTCAAAGAAACGTCAATCATCGTATACGTACGATTATCCGCGCGGGTTGTTCAAATCAAATCAAGATGAGTGGTGAACAGTACAAGCTCAGCTCAATTGCAAGACTGTGCAGACCTGGTGGTGGAAGGCATCATACCCTTGTCCAATTCTTGACTGCAGAAGTCAGCGGGGAGTCGCCGGTTCGAATCCGGCCCAGGTCCTGCGTCGTTCGAACTCAAATTCACTTTTTTTTACCATCTTTTTCCTCCTTCTTTGGAACTCGCGACATTGGCGACGGAAGTATTGATTTGTGGTACCTATGTACATACATGTTTGGGCGTGAACGGGGTAGACGCGCCATTGACATATCTTCCAGCGGCGAGAGCGTGGCATCGACAATATAGTCTGAGTAAGTAAGGAAGCGGCGGGATCCCGATGCTACGAGTGGCTGGCCTTAAATCGCTCGCCGGAGACATGTCGCAGAAATTGACATTCTTTGTTCCGACGTGGTTGAGGTTCTAAAACGGGGAGGTGAACGACGCGAAAGGTTCGGAGATGGATTTGGGCTCCACTGGCATCGATAGGCTCTCGGGGGATGTCGGATGGGCAACGATGTTGGCGCTCCGCCTAAGCCTCGGCCCAGAGCAGGCGATTGTGGGTTGCGGGGGGGCGGACAGAAGCGGGGGCCGTGGATGGGCGGAGTAAACTTGAAAGCTGGAATGCGGACATTGCCCGTTAAACGCCGCAAAAGGAATGCCGTCAACGGGAACCGTGGAACGGAAGAACCCGGAGAAACGTTACATAACTGTGACGCGTGTGATTCTCCGCCAACACTCCAACTTTTACTTGCTCCTCGATGAAGCGGACGCGATTCTACAATGCGCTCCCTCGCGTCGCCGGCGGGCGGGTCCGTTCAAACTCGGCCTCCCGTGCACTTTATACATCCTCAACCCCGACCTCCTTCTTCGACGCCCCGCCACCTCCGCCCAACACCCGGAACGGCCCGATGCTCACGACGAACCGCCTCCCCATCGAGGGCCGCGGCGAGGGCGAGGCCCCTCACGGCGGACCCAACGCCAGCCACGCCCCGCTCGCCCTCGCTGCGCCCCACCCCCCCAGCGCTCAGCTCGCACCCGCTGGCCAACTCGCCCTTCTAGGTCTATTCCCCTCCGGCGTGCCCGGCCCCCCGCACCTCTCTGCGCCGGCCCCGAGTGCCGCGGGTGGGCGGGCACGTGGGCGGAGGGGGGCCCGGTATACGCTCGAGGTTGGGGCGTATGGGATCCCGAAGCGGCATCATCACCAGCAGCAGAGGGCTTCATACGCGACGGACGCCCCGCTTGCTGTGCAGGTCGGCGAGGATGCCTATTTCATTCGCGAGAATGCGATGGGTGTCGCGGACGGCGTGGGTGGCTGGGCGAGGGTAAAGACGCAGGCACCGGGTGAGTGTCTATTTGCCCTTCTCTCCCCCTCTTCTTTTATTCCCATCCTTCATCCCCCCTCCTTGTTTGCATCTCAAACTCCTCCCAATTTCTTTTCTTCTTTCCTTCGCGCACCAAGTCGCTCCCATCGACGACTCCTACGCCCGGTCAGCGCCCTCTGAATATGACCAGGACGCTCAGAGCGGCTGTTTTCTCTTGTCTTTTAGGCTGTCAGCCACCTGCCCTTGCTTGCTTTTCCAATCCATATTCCGCCCATGCCCTCCTTCCTCTCCCTTTTATTCTTTTTTGGGATGGTGCCTCCCCTCCCGGATCCGCCCGCACCGCATCCTTTCCGCCCCCTCCCCCGCCGAAATCGCCCCGAACGTCCCGCACGTCGCACGCGACGCCTGCTGACTACCGCGGTGGCCCGGATTCTGCGCTCGGGTATGGCATTATTCATTTTAGCTCCATTCTCGTTTAATGGAAAGGGAGCGCGTGGAATCTTCCGCACCCGGCCTCGGCGTCGACGCGGTGCCTGCCCGTGGCGCTGACGAGGCAGTGCGAGTGCAAGCGGGGCAGGGAGTGCGTGCAGAGGGAGTTAATCTTTGCTGCCGTCGCATCCATTGGCGGCGTCCATCGTGGGGGCTTGCTTTTCTTGTTCGGCTCTCCTTATTCCTCCCTTCACTTCTTTCTTCTTCTTCACCCCCGAGGCAGTCCGCTCTCCGGGGATACGCGGG